GCTTTACACAATTGATGTGTGTATGGATTGTGATTAAGAGTTGTATGAGCCCCTAATAAAATGATTTTTTAAAAAGATTAATGCATTATTAGTATTTATTGATATCCAAAATGATCTTATTTATTGATTTAAGCATTTTCCTCACTAGGTTAAAAAAAAATCACCTTCCCACCATTACCAGTACCTAGAGAAGTTCCTGTCACATGGCTGTACCTTTGCTGTGTTTGTGTATTTATTTTAAAGATGATTAGATAGAATAAAGAAATGGCTAATAGGATCAAATTTAAAATGGAATTAAAATTAATTTTTTTTTTTGGTCTCTAAAGTATTCCATGTATTACATGTATTACTCAGATTCTGTATGAGATGTTGGGACTACTTAATTTCCTTGTTAATTGATAATGTGCATCACCAACGTAACCAGGAAGTTTTTTTCTTTTTTTGTGGTCCTTTGTTTCCCTTACTGGTTTCTTCTTCCTTGTCCTTTTGAATATATCTAGAAGTGCTTGCCTTTGTTTCCCCTGTAATTCTCTGGAGCAGAGACTGTCTTTTAGCCTATGTATTTCTTTGTAGCCCTTTACACTTTTTAAAATTTAATACTCTGCTCATGGTAATTGTGCGATAAATACTGATCACTTTATACTTTATACTGTGATATTTAATTTGCTCATTAAATACTTTGCCATGATGTTTAATTTATTTTCTCTGTCTTCCAGATTAACAAAACTCCAAATATTAGAGCTTAGAGAAAATCAGTTGAAAATGCTCCCAAAGTAAGTAAAGTGCTTTCCTTGAAAAAATTCGGTTTAGAGCATTTAATTTTTAAGTGTTTAGAGAAATGCTAGGTTTTAAAGATGCAAAATTATAGTAAAAGTTACTTTAAAAGAGTCACCATATTGTGGCCATAATATTTTAATTAGTGGTATTTAATATAGAAACCTGTATGCCTGTCATTCATGTATAACTGGGCTCAAGGCCAGTTGTGGTTTCTTAGCTCTCTGGAAATGCCTCCTGTAACACAAGAGTCACATTTAAGTATTGGTAAGTGAAGAAGATAGCACCAAAAGAAACAGATCCACAATACATTTATTCATGTATTACAGAAAGCAGTGCTCAGTTTCTTTGTAATTTAATTATCAAGACTTATTTGCCAATTTTGAAAAGGGAAGCATTTCCAATTTCCCCACAAATTTTGTTTATTCTGCTTCTGTGGCACCTTCCTTATGGCTGTTATATCATTGACTAGATCATTTTAATGTGTCTGTGTTTATACATGTATTATACATTTATGTATTTGTATATTTAATTTGCTCATTAAATGAGCTTTGTTCCTGATCAGCATGAATAATATTTTCCCAGTCACACTTCATGTAAACAATGTGTCCAAACATATAGCGATATGCCCAAATCTATGCTAGAAGGGGTGGCATGGTTGGCAAAAGCATGCATTATTTGTATAAAAATAGGTATTATTTCACAGTTTAGTCATTATCCTGTAGTGATGCATAGTATTTATATATATGTATTAACTATGAAGACATATATTCATAATTTGGAAATTAACATAAATAAAACCCAAACAAGGTTTTAAAATTATGGCACAAGGACACACAAACAAATCTGTCTCTTACACCGTTTTTAAAAGCATAAAGTAACAAATGCTGGAGATGATGTAGAGATTTGGAACCCTCTTACACTGCTAGTGAGGCTGTAAAACAGTACAACCACTGTGGAAAGTGGTATGATACATTCCCTATCAAACAACTGGGAATAGAACTGCCAAATGACTCAACAATCCTTCAACTTTGATACCAAAGTTTATTTATCCAATTCTTCCAGTAATGGGAATTTGGGTTGTTTCCTTCTTGCTGTTATAAACAGTACTGCAATGAACATGGGATGCATATATCAGCTACGCTTTGCTCCATGTATCTTTAAGGTTTATATTCAGTTGAGGGATTGTTGATAGGGATGTGTGTGTGTGTGTGTGTTATCCTTATGGTATAATTTACAGACCTTGTTTGGGTTTTAATGATGTTAATTTCCAAATTATGACTATATTTGTGTTTATAGTTAATATAAAAATATCTAACTGTACTTTATTACTATTTTCTCAGAACCTAAAATATTACATGGAAAATTTTTATTTTGGTAGAATCTCAAACACTAATACTGTTTTATTAAATTAGCAATTTGAGAGAATACTCATTGATTTAAATAGTAATTAGCTTAAATAATTTCCTATCTAGATGGAGAGAGAAAGATATGTTTATTTACGTACAAATCAATTTAAAAGATCATTTTATTGGGGGCTCTTACCATTCGTATTACAATCCATACTTCAATTGTATTAGACATATTAGTACATAAATTGCTATCGTTCTTTTCTAGGCATTTACTTTCTATTGAGCTCTTGGGATCAGCTCCCCTCCACCCCCCTTGGTCCATTGATAGATTTTATAGATTGTTGTTTTCATATCTCATACCGACCACTGTCTACCTTCCCTTCTGGTTTCTTTTGTTCTCCCCAGTGGAGGGGGGGTTGTACATTTCTTAAAATTCTGTAGTTACATTGTAAAGTGTTAAATTGGTATTTGAAAAGTTGTGATTCTACCTTTAATTTAAATTAACTATTAAAAAATAAACAGTGAAATAATATTTTATTTTTAATTGTGTTGAAAAGGTAGCTGTGGAACGAGGTTGAAAATTAACTATTAAAAAATAAACAGTGAAATAATATTTTATTTTAATTGTGTTGAAAAGGTAGCTGTGGAACAAGGTTGAAAATTTTGGAACAATCTTAACGTTTACTCATATAATATTGGAAATTATTTTTGAGCAATAGGCATCTTGACATTGTATAAATATGAGCATTCTTGAAAAATGGTAGTAATGACATGTAGTTGCCAAACAAGATAATTCATTAGCTGATTTGTATAAATAAAAACACTTGCTAATATGAAAAATAATGCTTACATCTTTAGGTGCCAAGTACGAACATGTGAGAATTTTAAAATTATGGAGTAATTGATAGCTTAATCCTTTTTATTAGAATTTAAAATTACTTATTTTGCTTATAGAATTATTATTTTGAAAAATTTTTGGAAGCCATACACTTAGATGAAGTATACTGAATTAAATATTTCATATAATTTTTAATATGTGAAATTTGAAAGTTTCTATGTAATTGATGTATTCATATGTAATTCTTTTATTAATCTATTTTGAATAGAACCATGAATAGACTGACTCAGCTGGAAAGACTAGATTTAGGAAGTAATGAATTCACAGAAGTGGTAAGTATCTCACTATCCATTGTTGTTACTCGGTGCCATTGAATTGCTTGGCTTAGAGGCCCTGTGTACAAGATTATGGAATACTGCCTTGTGAACTGTGACATATTCACAGTATTTACTATGCTCTAGTCCTTTGTTGCAGCCATTGTGTCAGTCCACCTCATTGAGGTTCTTCCTCTTTTTCTCTTCCCCTGTGTTCATAAATGTCTCTACATTCTATGTTCTAAGGAGCATTCTGGCTGTATATTTTTAGAAACAGATCTGTTTTTCTGGCAGTCTGTGGCATATCCATCTTATTAACCAGCATCATTGTTCAAAGACATCAATGATTCCGTCCTCCTTATTAATGCTTCGGCTTTCCATGTGCAATGAGGTGGTAAAATACCCTGGCTTGTGTAATTAAAATACTATGGTTCTATTCACATATTAGTCCTTAGCGTGTCACCTGTGCTTTTTTGACACCTTTAAAAGAGGTATTTTGCAGCCATGTTTCACCAGTACATGCATTGTTTTAATTTCTTGGTGGCTGCTGCCATTGACTGTGGATTTAAGTAAAATGACCTTGACAACTTCAGTATTTTTCTTCATTTTTTTCATGATGTTGCTTATTGGTCCTGTTGTGAGAATTTTGTTTCCCTTATGTTATGGTTTGATCCACACTGAAGGCTATAGTGTTTGACTATCATTACCCTGTACTTCATGTTATAATTTTTTCTCTAACCCTGATGATGCATTCTTCATATACTTCACCTTTTTGGGTTATTTTGTCATCATACAGATTTAATAAGTGTGGTGAAAGAATACAGTCTTGATTTTAAAACACGTTATTCTTAGGGTTTTCACTATCTGACTTTGTTTCGAAGCTATGAATGGTTTTCAAGACAGATGAAGAATTGATGCGTTTGAATTGTGGTGCTGGAGAAGAATATTGAAAGAACCATGGACAGCTAAGAAGAACAACGGATTTGTCTTAGATAAAAGTAGGGCTAGATTGTTCCTTTGGGGCAAGGGTAGCGAGATTCCTTCCTACATACTTTTGATATGTTGTCAGGGGAGACCAGCCCCTGGAGAAAGACATCATGTTTGGTAAAGTAGAAGGGCAGAGAAAAAGAGGAGGTCCTCAAGGATATGGTTTGACACAGTGGCTTTTAACAATGGGCTCAAGTGTATGAACAATTATAAAGATGGGGCAGGACCAAGCAGTGTTTCTTTCTGTTGTGCATAGGGTCATTAGGAGTTGGAACAGAGTCAATGGTACTTAACAAAAATATCCATAAGTTTTATATTTTATCATAAAATGTCAAAACTGATTACTTAATAGATAATTTTTAACAGTTGTGGTTAGGTGCCATGTAGTTGGTTCCAACTCATAGGGACCCAATGTATAAGAGAAAGAAACACTGCCAGCTCCTGTGACAGCCTCACTATGATCAATTCTGATGTTTGAGCCCATTGTTAAAGCCACTATGTCAATCTCATCAAGAGCTGTCTTCTTTCTCTGCCCCTCCACTTTACTAAGCATTATGTCTTCTCCAGGGACTGGTCTCTCCTCACAATCATGTCCAAAGTACGTAAGACGAAGTCGTACCATCCTTGCCTCTAAGGAGCACTCTGACCATACTTCTTCAAGACAGATTAGCTTTGTTCTTTTGGCAGTCCCTGGTATTTTCAATATTCTTTGCCAACACAGTTCTTCAAATGCACCAATTTTTATTTGGTCTTCCTTATTCATTGCCCAACTTTCACATGCATGTGATAAGGCAATTGAAATACCACTGTAGTCCTCAAAGTAACAGCCTTGCTTTTTAATATTCTAAAGAGGTCTTGTGAAGCAGATTAACCCAATGTAATACGTCTTTTCATTTCTTTCTTTCTTTTTTAAAGTCATTTTATTAGGGGCACATACAACTCATCACAATCCATACATACATTGATTGTGTAAAGTACATTTGTACATTCATTGCCCTCATCACATTTCTTTCATTTCTTGACCTCTGCTTCACTGGGCATTGATTGTGGATCCGAGTAGGACAAAATCCATGAAAACTTCAATCTTTCTTCCATTTATTGAACCATGTTACTTATTGGTTCAAATTGTGAGGCTTTTGGTCTTCTTTACATGATTTGTAATCCACACTAAAGGCTGTAAACTTTCACCCTCATCAGCAAGTACTTTAAGTCCTTCACACTTTTACCAAGTAAGTTTGTGTCATCTGCCTATCACAGGTTGTTAAGAATCCTTCCTCCAACCCTATGCCACATTATTCTTCATATAATCCAGCTTCTCTGACTATTTGCTTAGTATACATAATGATTAACTATAGCGACAGGTTACAGCCCTGACACACACCTTTCCTGATTTTAAGCCGTGTTCTGTTTGTGCAGCTGCCCCTTGTTCCATTTACAAATTTTGCAGGAGCACAATGAAGTGTTCTGGCATCCCCATTCTTCTCAAAACTGTCCATAGCTTCTTATGATCCACACAAGTAAACATCTTTCAGTTACTCATTGCCTTTTGCAAAGATCTTGATGACATCAGCAATGATATCTCTTTTTTCACATCCTCTTCTGAACATGACCTGAATCTGGCAGCTCCCTTCCAATGTACTACTGTAACTATTGTTGGGTGATCTTTAGCAAAACTTTACTTGCTTATGATGCCAGTGATATTGTTTTATACTTTGTTCATCCTTGAAATAGATACAAATAAGAATCTCTTACAGTAGGTTGGCCAAGTAGCTATCGTCAAACTTCTTGGCATAGACAAGTGAGTACTTCCAGTACTTAATCTGCTTGTTGAAACATTTCAGTTGGTCTTCCATCAATTCTTAGAACCTTGTTTTTAGCTTATGCTCATTGCAGCTTGGACTTACTTCTTTAGTACCATTGACTCTTGCTCATGTGTAACCTCTTGAAACAGTGGAATGTCACCCAATTCTTTTTGGTTTTCTGTGTAGTCTTACCACTTTTTTTTGTTTGTTTGTTTCCACCTTTTGATGCTTCCTGCATCATTCAATATTTTGTTGATAGACTTTTTTAGTATTCTAAATTGAAACTTAATTTTTTTTTTTAGTTTTTCCTCAGTTTAAAACGAGTGTTCTTTTTTGGTTTTTTAAACTCTGGGTCTTTGCACATTTTATTATAATACTTTGTCTTTAAAAAAATTTTTTTATCAAAAGATCAATTTATTGAGGGCTATTACAACTCTGATAATAATCCATACATCAGTTGTGTTAAGCATAGTTGTACATATGTTGCCATCATTCTTTTCTAGACATTTATTTTCTATTGAGCCATTGGTATCAGCTCCTCTTTTTTGCCCCTCCCTCCCCGCCTGCCCACCCTCATGACCCCTGTCTCCCATCCCCCATGGTTTTTGTTGTTCTTCCAATACTTATCTTCTTGAGCTGTCCTTTGCAATTTTCTGTTTAGCTTTTTGACATCATTTCATCCATTTGCCTTAACTACTCTATGGTCAATAACAAATGTCAAAGTCTCTTCTGACATTCATTTTGATCATTTTTTCCTCTTCCTAGCTTATTGATCTTTTGCTTTCTTCATGAATGATGGTCTTAATGTTCTCCCACAGCTCATCAGGTCTTCTGTTATTAGTGTTTAATGCATCAAATCGGTTCTTGAGTTTGCCAAATTCAAATTGGATATCTTCAAGGTCATATTTTGGTTCTCATAGATGTGTTTTAATTTTTTTCATCTTCAGCTGAACTTACATATGAGTACTTGATGGTCTATTCCACAGTCAGCTCCTGGCCTGGTTTTTTGCTGCTGATACTGTGTCTTTTCCCACAGATGTAGTCAATTTGATTTTTGTGTCTCCAATTCAGGAGAAGTCCACTTGTATAGCCTCACCTTTTGTATTGTTCAGGAAAAGTTTTTGCTATGGATAAGTCTTTGGCCTTGGATAATTATGTCATGGGATGTCCAGCTTCATTTTTATCACAGAGACCTTGTTTTCCAACTAGTGTTCCTTCCTTGTTTGTTTCAGACATCCACATTCCAAAGACCAATAATTATCAATGCCTTTTGACTGTATAATTTATCGATTAAGAGCCAGTCAGGGTTCAGGGTAGCAACGATGAAACATACAACTTTCCTCTAGTTCTTAAATGCTTCCGCCCCCTCACTATCATGATTCCAATTCTACCTGACAAATCTGGCTAGACCAGAGGATGTACATTGGTACAGATAGGAACTGGAAACACAGGGAATCCAGGACAGATGACCCCTTCAGGACCAGTGGTGAGAGTGGCGATGCCTGGAAGGTGGAGGGAATGTGGAGTGGAAAGGGGGAACCGATTAAAAGAATCTATGTATAGCCTCCTCCCTGGGGGATGGACAGCAGAGAAGAGGGTGGGGGGAGATGTCGGGCAGTGTAACATATGACAAAATAATAATAATTTACAAACTATGAAAGGTTCATGAGGAGGTGGGAGTGGGGAGGGAGGGGTTGGAAATGAGGAGCCGATATTAAGGGCTCAAATAGAAGGCAAATGTTTTGAGAATGATGATGGCAACAAATGTACATATGTGCTTGACACAATGGATGTATGTGTGGATTGTGATAAGAGTTGTATGAGCCCCCAATAAAATGATTTAAAACAAAACTGAAGACATTGGTAGAATTCCTCCATTTCTACATCATTAGCATTAGTGGTTGGTGAATGGATTTCCTTGTTTGTGGATAGTCATCCTATTACAGACAGCATTGTACTTCAGGAAAGCTTTTGAAATGCCCGTTTTGACTGTGAATGCAACATCATTCCTCTTGATTGTGTAGTTCTAGCATAGTAAACCTTATGATTTTCTGATTCACATTGGCCAATACCAGCCCATTTCAGCTGACTGTTCCCTGGAATATAAGTCTTTATGCCTTCCATTTTATTTTAAATGACCTCCAACTTTCCTAGATTCATACTATGTACCTACGAAGTTCAATTATTCATTCATTGGTGTGTAGAGTTCTTTCTTCTTACTTTGAGTTG